GCGCGGGGCAGCAGAAGCCGCCCTACGGCAGTTTTTGCGATGCGCCGTGCGAGAGCGCAAAGAGCCGGCGGCCGCTGGAGCTGGAAGCCGAGAGGCCCGTGTCTTTCATCGCCAACTACGTGTCGCCCGACTCTCCCGGCGAGCACGTTTCCAAACCCGGCATCCCAACCGCTGACTCCAAAGCCTCTTTCGAGGCGCACGTCAGAGAAAAATTTAACAGGATGGTGGAGGCCGTGGACAAAACGATAGAGAAGAGAATCGACAAGCTTACCAAAGAGCTGGCCCAGAAAACCGCCGAGCTGCTGGAAGTGCGGGCAGCTTTTGTGCAGCTGTCGCAGAAGAAGCAGGAGGTGCAGCGGCGAGAGCAGGCCCTGAGCAGGCAGGTGGACGGGGCGGGGGGGATGATCGCAGCCCTGAAGCAGCGCCTCACCGAGTCCGAGGAGGAGCTCCACAGGAAAGAGGAGTAAGTGGAGAGGCGAGAGCTGGGGGTTTCGCGTGGGGCGAAGGAGCACGTGCCTCCCCAGCACGTGCACGAACAAAGGGGCGGGTTCCCTTGCTTGTTGGGCAGGAAAGGGCCTGGCATTCACCAGCTTTTGGTAACTTTGTCTAGAGTTGTAGCCCATGTGAGCACGTCTCCTGAAAGGTACGGGACAGCTCCGCTGAGCAGATGGGTTCATGCTTGAAAGTGGTGCCTCTGTCGTGGTGACTAACTCTCACATCCTATAATGCCTGGGTTATGACCCTAGTTTCATGGGGACAGAAACGAGTCTAAGCTATCACCGGCATATAATCTGATTTAAACTGACATCTCTAATGCGCTATATTTTTAAGAAGAGATGGATAGATGAGTACTGGAGCAATTAGGTAGCAATACAGAATAGCACCTTTTTCCTGAAGTCATCCCACCGAGATCAGTGGGGTTGCCTGTGGAGAGAGATGGTCTCCTGTACAGCAGCAAGGCTGTGTTGGAAGATGATGCTCAAGAGGCCATAGCCTCTTGAAGGCAAACAACCAAGCAGGTGTTTTAGATGGACACACAACTATGAAACTGGAATGACTTCTATGGGAACAGGAAGCAGATGCCAGAGGCGTTTTGACAAGCCTAATTCTTCTAAAAACATGTTCATGATGCATCCATTAAAAATGTAGTGATGTCTGATATATTATTTATGCATGAACTACTTAGTTTATTCAGTATTTGCTGAAACCTTTTCAGGCTTTTTGGAGCAGCACAACTTATTTTAGAGGAATGCAAATTTGGAGCTTGATAAGGGAGTGCTTCTGAACCAATTCATCAGCTTACAAAGGAAAGATGAGGAGTGCTAGTTGCCATGACGCTGATCTTAGAAGACATAAGGAAGGTGGTGTAGGAGTTCAGTGTAGGAAGTTTGGAGGGTTTTCATTCTTTCTTCCTGTGACTTCAGGACTAGAAAGAGAAGGTGATGATGGCTCCTGAGGCAGTACTGTTGATTCTCCAGAAGAGAGGACAGCAAAAGTGATGGGGTTTGAGTCTCTGGGATAAACATCTTCCTTGAAGGGATATTCAGCCGAACCTCTGATTTTCTGAAATACCAGGTGAACCTCATAGAAGAGAAGATTTAAGGACTAAAAGCTAAAGGTAATAGTGAAACTGAGACAGGGATTTGAAAGAATGGTGGAGGGAAGCTGTGAAGATAACTTACCGTTTGAATACACTTACGGCAAAATTCCCACCAAACTTTAGGTATCAAAGATGACAGCTTCTAGCCAAACTCCCATTTGGGCTCTTTCACAGTGTGATTCATCCTACTTGTTCTAGAAACATATCTCTGAGTGGGAGGAATTGCTCTGTGGAGGTCCTTCCTCCCTCTGGAGGCTCAAGAGGGACCTCCGGTAAGCACCTGTTTGGGGCTAGATGCTGAACTTCAGATATCTGAAATGAAGTGGCATGAAATTTTACCCCAACTAAACCCACAGTTCTAGAGGACAGACTATGATGCAAGGTTTGCAATCCGCAGAAAAAAATGACTATCAGGGTAAAGCAGAAACCATTCAGTGGAGCAAAAATAAAGTTGTAAAAACTTCTGCTGTGCTTTGGAGTGAAGAGGAGAGTCATGGACTAGCAAGGAAGACGAGAAAGGGCGGGGGGAAACCTGAGTTGCCTAGGTAGAAAGAATGAATATGATATATGGGGGGGAGGGGCAAAAGATTGATTTGTGAAAAGAAAGAAGCAGCAAAGGTGGAGATTTTTAACACTAGTAGGAAAGGCACAAGGAAGAGGCCATGTGTCCCATTAGGGGACTGCTCAATAACAGCTGTGGCAAGAATAGAAGGTGCGATCCTGAGGCTGGAAGAGGCTTAGAGGGAACAAGGAATGGGAGAGGAAGAGCTTTTCAGATCTGAACCTCTGACAATGCCTTGGACGTTTACCTTTGTGCCACTGGTCAGGAAGTTAATAGGAAGCGAATATGCTGTGGTAGAGAGGAAAAGAAAGGATGTTCATGACCTTTACCAACACTGTAGCTTGTCTGGTTTTCTCATGGGCTCTTGGTAAATTCTGAGACCTGTCTCCATATTCATTCTCTTCTGTTTGTTCAAAAACTTACTCATCTTATGCGCTGAAAGGATTTTCTCCTTCAAAAGGAGGACCTCAGCTCTGGCTTTGATTTCTGGAAGAAGTCCAGGTGATTAGAAAGCCAAACAAGACTACTTAATGGAAATTGCAGAGGCAGGAGTTCCCACTGCAGATTGTGAAAAGTCAAAGGCACTCCTTAGGGACTCGCTTTGATACTTGCTGACCTTCAGAAATAAAATGCTTTCATCAATTTTTTGGATTTTTTTCCCCATAAGGAGTCTTGTAAATATGGATAACTGTTCCCAAAAGTAGCACTAATATTGAGCTACTGTAGCTGAAAATTCCTTCTCCTTTCCTTTTTTTGTAGAAGGAAAAAGAAAACACCTTTCTCCGTAGAGCTTCCTTAGAAAAAAAAGAATGATAAAGACATGTAAAGGAAAGCATGGTCTCTGAATGGTTCCCTTTGGTCTCTGAATGGTTGTCTCTACTACTCTACTATCAGATGTTCTGGTGCAATAGAGTGCATGTGAAAAGAAAAAAGGAGTTATAATCAGTATGCATTTTTAGATATCAGTCTGAGGTATGCCTACCTCAGATCAGTCTGAGAGTAAAAAAAAAAAAAAAAAGTCTATCCAAAAAGGAAAAATATGCTATTCCAAATCTGATACAAGGTTACAAAAACTCTTCTTTGGAGACTCTTCTACAGGAAAAAGTTGATAACTCTTACGGGGATGTCATCCTTTCAAGTAACCCTTGAAAAACAATGTTCTGATAAAGAAGTTACAGATGCCTATACCAGACCCATATCTGAATACTCTGTATATCCAACTACTCCGCGAGTACCTTGTACGGAAAAACAATCACTATCACATCAAATGACTCCTTAATATTGGATGTATTAATTCAGTATATTTTCATCTGTGTGAAACGTGCCTAGATAAGCCAGGGACCTCTGTGAGATGTTAGGCTAGACCTGCTCGTACATTTAAGAATAAAAGAGTTAACCAGATGTGGAAGATGAAAGAGGATGTATCTAGTGATGGTTTTGTGGTGAAACCCAGAGATCTGACTTATAAATTGGCTGTGAAAGAGACAATTGTTGGAATTTCTTACACTTCTTGTGAAGTGTATGAGAAGATGAAGACAGAAGATAACAGTATGATTCCACTTTGGATAATAGTTCTGATTTTTTGGATCTGATTGTGAAGTCAAATAGGAAAGCTAAGGGAAAGGCAAGATATGTGCTAGCAAGAATAACTTGGATGGGAAGCCCCAAGAGGGAGATCTAAATTCCTACAAGGAGCGATATGAATTCTTTAAACATCTCCATCTTCTTGTTCTAGAAACACAGTTCTTTTACGCCTTGTATCTTTTCTTTCTGCCCAGCCTAGTGAAGGCAGATATCGCACTTCTGTCACTAGCACTCATCAACAGAGATGGTACATGCGAGGTCACTGTGTCTTGACGGAATTTCGCTTCTTCTCTGCTCCACCTGTTAAATCTGTGTGTCCTGAACCTCCGCTTGCATCAAGCATCTGGGATATAGAGAGACTGTGATGCTTCAAGTGGCTGCATTGTCAGAAGCTGATTTCTCTGATGTGCTCTTCAAAGCAAGCAACAAGTCTGTAGGCTTCAGAACTCTGTAGGGAGTAAATCCTTCTGAAAGTTGAAATTAGTTAGTGCTTTGATTTACGTTATCACTGCTAATCAAAGCACTATTTGGTTTCACTGTTAACCTCTCATTCGGCTGAGACGGAGGAGCATTGGTTTAAGATGCCAGCAGCCCGCTGCCCATACAGAATCTGTTGGGTTAGTAGGGTTGTTTCTTTACAAGTGTCAGTTGATCTTTTTCTTTGTTTTAAGTAAAAGCTATAGCAGTCCAACAGAGATAGTGCTAGAGCAAAGGTATCTTTTTAGTTATATTTTCTTCCTCTTCCCTTACAAAAAGTGCCATGCTAATATACACAGCTGCACATGCTTTTATACTGGTGTGGTGCCCTCTTGGGGATCAGGTGTGGTGAGGGGGGAGAAAGATAACAGCACCACACTAATGATACAAACTCATAGTTAAAGTAGTACGATTCTGAGCACAGAAAAGTCTTATAGCAAGCATTGTTGCATCACTTATTCTCCTCGTATTAGGAAAGTCCAAAGCTTGGGGGAGAGGGCGACGCACCAAAACCAGAATGTTCTGCAGATGCAAGCACAGCTACCACGGACAGGTCCCATTTCACTGACCTGTCCCAGTTTGGCCCAGGGTAGTTCGGATGAGTGATGGCTACAGGGTCAAGCCTTGAGTACAGCTGCTGAGCAAAAGGATGATTAAGTAGAAAACATGCCCTGAAAAGGAATATTCAGTGTTTCATGAACGAGTGCAACTCATTGAGTACTGTGATCTTAAAGATATCTCGGAAGCCTGCACAAAGCAGGGAAGTTTGTGTTGAATAAGATACCAAAAAAACCTTTGGAACTTAAAAACAGCTATGAAATCAACTCCTAGAGGACACCTAGAGACTTGCTTCTAGAAATTATGTTTAAAAAAAAAAAATCAAAGAGGTAGAACTTGGTGGGTTTTTTTTGTTTTTCCCCCCCAATAAGTCTGAACAGGATAAGCATTTGAAGTAAAGGACACAGTGTCCTTAAATCTTAGCATGAGATGTATCTTCAAAACAAAGATTTGGGCCTTAGTAATCTATCATGTTCAAGGACAACAGAAACTGTAATCATTCTTTCTTAACATGAATTTGAATTTCTGTTGGGAACTTCTTTTTTACTGAGAAAACAAAGCAGATATTTTTGAGGTACATTTGTCTGGTTAGTCTTATCTCACTGTAGCATTAATTAGAATGACTTCTACTTCTGTCCTGCATATTGCATCTGTACACCCGTACCACTCGTTTCCAGGGCAT